GGCTTTGAAATAACAAGCCCTGTGGTCTTAAGGTTGAAGTGTGGTTCAGGGCCTGTGCATATTAGTGGACAGCACTTAGGAGCTGTGGAGGAAGATGCAGAGTCAGAAGAAGAAGAGGAAGAGGACGTGAAACTCTCAAGTATATCTGGAAAGTGACCTGCCCCTGGAGGTGGAAGCAAAGTTCCACAGAAAAAAGTAAAACTTGCTGCTGATGAAGATGATGGCAACAAAGATGATGATGATGACGATGATGATGATGATGATTTTGAAGATGAGGAAACAGAAGAAAAAGCTCCAGTGAAGAAATCTACACGAGATACTCCTGGCAAAAATGCTCAAAAATCAAACCAGAACAGAAAAGACTCAAAACCATCAACACCAAGATCAAAAGGTCAAGAATCATTCAAAAAACAGGAAAAAACACCTAAAACACCAAAAGGACCTAGTTCTGTAGAAGACATTAAAGCAAAAATGCAAGCAAGTATAGAAAAACGTGGTTCTCTTCCCAAAGTGGAAGCCAAGTTTATCAATTATGTCAAGAATTGCTTCTGGATGACTGATCAGGAGGCTATTCAAGATCTCTGGCAGTGGAGGAAGTCTCTTTTAAAAAATAGTTTAAACAGTTTGTTAAAATTTTCCGTCTTATTTCATTTCTGTAACAGTTGATATCTGGCTGTCCTTTTTATAATGCAGAGTGAGAACTTTCCCTATCGTGTTTGATAAATGCTATCCAGGTTCTATTGCCAAGAATGTGTTGTCCAAAATGAAAAAAGTCCCAAGAGGAGAATAGAGGAGAAGGGATTGCGGCATGGCTATCCTCCCTGGGGGGTGACTTCTCGCTTTCTGTCTCTCTGTCTCTGTCTGTCTGGCAAGCACACACGCCCTATAGCAAAAACCTCTCCAAATAAAGAAGAAAAAAAAAAAAAAAGACAGAACATATGCTATAAAGTGACTTTTCCTCTCATTTACCCCCATAGCTATTGAGGTCTATTCCTGTGTAACCATGGATCTAGTTTACTTTGTATCAGTCCAGAGGTAGTTAAAAATATAAGCACACATCCATTTTTATCTAAATTTGCTAGTGGCACTATAGTTTGTGCCCACCCCCCATCATGTCCAGAGATTTGACCATGAAGGTGTTAACAGGAAACTTAATACCTTCATAGTGTTGAAAGATGGGGCCTTTGGGAGTGATTAAGTGATTAGGGCAGGGCCCTTATGACTGTCTCCTGGTGGATTTACACAGAGACCGAGAGAGACAAGCACAGAGACACACGCTGAACACACAGTGACGTGTGCTCCTGGTCTCATGATGTGATGCTCAGCACAGCCTTGAGACCCACCAACAGGACAGCCCTTACCAGATTGGCCCCAAACTTTGACCCTGCAAACTGTGAACTCAACTTTACTCTGCTGACTGAGGAGGTCACTGCATACTGAACTGCAGTGCTGGAAGCCACGTGGCTGACTGCAGGCCTGGTTCTCTGGTTTGCCTGGACATGTTGGGCTGCACATACCTCAGATCCCAAAGAGCTGGAGGGTTGGGAGAAGAAGGTCATAGCATGATGGAGCCCTGTCAAGAGTGTCTGTCATTCTCTCTCCTTGTCTCTTTCTCACACACGTTCACATATGCACACATTCACTTTCTATCCAAACCTCTATTCTCTCTCTCTCTCTTTTTTTTTTTTTTTTTTGAGAGGTTTCTTCATAGGGCGTGTGCGCTTGCCAGAAAAACAGAGAGAGACAGAGAGACAGAAAGTGAGAAATTACCCCCCACCCCCGGGGGTATGGCCACACGGCAATCCCTTCTCCTCCATTCTTCTCTTGGGATCTTGGGCACACATGCATGCATGCCCAGCGTGAGTTTAAGCCACCGGGTCCAGGACTCGAACCGCAGCCGACTACATGGGAGTCCAGTGACATAGTCATTATGCCAACTGCTGGTCCCTTTCTATCTTCTTAAATTGCACATACTTAGGTATTTTCTGTTATTAGAATATAACAGACTAGAATGGGTAGCAACCACATACTTTCTGCATGTTTTTCTTCTTTTCACTTATGATACATACACCTTGGGAAATTTTCCTGTATTAGTACTATAGAGTTTTCCTTTCAATTTAGTGGCTATAAGTATTCCTTTCTAAGTGTGCCCCAAGATCTACCTTATCAGTACCTGATAGTGAAATTTTCGCATGGTTTCCAGACCTTGGTGCTAAAACAAAGAAAGAAAAGCACTGTAGCTGAACTACGAAAAGGAACCAAAATAACTCCATTTTAAATGTGGCATAATAGACTAGCCCTTAAACATGGTTTGCTTCCCTTTCTTTTTTTCACTGATCTTGCTTTACTGTTTAACTCATAGCAAAATGTCTAATTACAGCTTTGCTGAGTTTTCACTGGAAGTGGGCCTTACAGTGGGAGCTAAACACCCCCAGATGTCAGACTTGTCGAAGAAAAGAGGAAAAGAGACTGGCCTTGAGGGTGCATTGACCCTACACATAGCAACTCTGGAGCCAACCAGTTGCCCTGTGGCTGTGCAGGAGAGCTCGTAGTGCCCACCTGCGCCTTTCTTTATCTCACCTTTTAGAACCTCTGACCCAGTCTGAGACATTAGAGGTGGTCTTTGGTCAATAGTTCATTATTTTCCCAGGTCACCAGTTTCCTGAATAAAGCTACCTTTCCTTTTCACCAACCTTTACCTCTTGACTGTTGGCCCTGTGTGTGGTGGGCAGCTGAAACTGGGTTCTTCACAGGGTCAGATCCATAGCTGGTCCAGTAACAGTACCATCGCAGTACTATCGCATATGTTGGTTTTAACTTGGGTAAATAAGTCTGTAAATTTCTAAGTATGAAATTACTAGACAAAGATATGTACTTAAATTTTTGATATGTAGTTACAACAGTCCATACCATCACTAGCAAATATGAGAGACTATTTCCCCAAAACTTCGCCACCCAGAGTCCTGTCAGAACTTTCTGGTCTTACCCATGGTAGAAGCAAAACAAGAACAACTCTTTTTTTAAAGTTTATTTATATATTTTTCTACATGATGTGTGCAGTCGCCAGAGAGAAAGAGAGACAGAGAAAGAGAGAGAGAAAGAGAGAGAGGGAGAGAGAGAGAAAGTAATCACCACCCAGCGGACAGCCACACCCAAAATCTCTTTTCTTCTACTCTCCTCTGGGGATTTTGAGCAAGCATGCCCATGCGCCCAGTATGATTCTCAAGCTGCTAGAATCAGAACTCAAACAGTGAAGCTGGCTTTGGGGATCCAGCACAGCAACTTGAATGGTCCAAGAACAACTTTTATTATCAGTAAAATTAAACACTTTTATTCTCATATTTTTATCTATTTTAGAATTTTCTTTTTGCTCGCTTCTCACTGATTTAAAAGAGCTCAAAAAAGTGAACTCTGTGACTATAATATAAATTGTAAATGTTTTCTTTTTCTTGCCACTTGTCTTTTTCCTTTAAGTCTTATATGAATAATTTTATGATCTTCTAATTTAGTTCCCACTTTTTAAAGTTAAGTAATCCAATCAAAACTGAGTTTGTTAGTTGTTTTTTTGACTTCTTTGTAATTATATTTTTTAACTTTTGTTTGATGAAAAAGCTAATACGCATATACTTCAAAATGAGTCACGGTGTTATACTATTAAAAGAAAAAAAGTCTCATTTTATAATTCCCTTACCAGGAATTTGCAGTTTATTTCATATGTGAACTGATAAATTTCATTCCTAAACCAACCAGCTTAGCAGGCAAAGGTGCTACTGCTATTAATGCATTGCTAACTTCATCAAGGAACCCTAAAAAACCTGAGGGTTCTTCTTTTTGTTTTCTTTCAATCTCTTCTTTTAGTTGTCTTATCTCTTTATTTAACTCTTCAGATTTTTTTTCGAATCCTTCAATAAGCATTTCTCTTTGGATCTGTAAGAGAGGAAACCCCCAACAGCGAGAGTCAGAGTTTGTATGGAGCTGCTTCCGCAGCTAAGCACATGCATCTCTTTCTCTACTGCCTCAGTTCGCTCTTTGAGAGTTTTTCAGTATTTCCACAGTTTGGACCTGAATTGTGGGAATGTCCATGATTTAAACCTTTGGGAGTTTCCCTGGTAGCCTCTCACTGGGGGTAGGGAGGAGTTTCGTTGCATGACAAAAACTCTATGGGAAGGAATGCAGACTGAGTTGCCTTAATTCTGGGTTCCACTGAACTGGCAAGGCCAAAATAATCTCACAAACAACAGGAACTGCTGATGCTGTGTTAACACGGGTAATCAGGCACCAGGTCCAGACAAGAATTTATTTTACTCTAGTTGGATAGGATGGCTCAGGCAGATAAGGAAACCAAAGGAATCCATTTAGAGGTTCTAACTTCCCTTATTTCATATCAGCACAGCTAAATCGGATGCTTTCAGACCAGATGGCTGTATTTCAGGTCCCTTTGATAGTTGTGCCAAGAATCATAAGGACAAGTGGAAGAACGTCTATTTAAGAGGGCACAGTTGGGACATCCTTTAATCACGACAGCAGCCAACCATGCAGGGGCGTGCCACATGTTCCGTCCAAGGTCTAACACTGGAGAAGGTTCTGAAGTCTTATACCTTTGCAGGCTTCAACAGGACGCAAAAGTATTTATGTTTTCAAAGAAATACAAATCTTTTAGTTTTCTCCTTGGAATCTTAAGCATGCTCAAATCTGGGCTCTTCCCTTCCAGAGTAACTGATGCATTGTCCATCAGGCACTGCCTGGGCCCTGTCCAGACTTACCCGCATCTTGTGTTCCAGTACCCTGTCCTGCTCTCTCAGGAAGTCTTCTTTCTCCCTCTCCAGCTTCTCCTTCAGCTGGTGTATGTGTTCCTGGTGGCTTCTCTCTTGAGCCTCCAATCTTTGCTCCTGCTCTTTCTGTTTCTGCCTTAGTAGCTCCTGTTCCTTCTCAGCGGCCTCCTTCTTGGCCCGCTCCGCTGTTCCAAAAATGTTTTAGAGAGAGAAGAAAACAACACCCAGGCCTGAGTGCCACCCTCCTGATTCACGGACAAATGGACATTGAAAGTGAATGGGGGTGTTGCCAGCAGATGACGTAATGATTATGTCCCTGGACTCCCATGTAATTGACGGTCCTTTGAGTCCCAGAACCGAAGGCTTAAACTCACACCAGGTGCGTGTGTTTATGTGTGTGTGTGTGTGTGTATGTGTGTGCGTGCGCAAAATCCCAAGAGGAGAATGGAGAAGGGATTGCCGTGTGGCCAGGCCCACGGTGGTGGGGGTGGGGGTGGGGGGGTGATGTCTCTCTATCTCTCTGGCAAGCATATGCATCTTAGAAAATCTCTAAAAGAAAAGAAAAAGTGGACAGGGACTCTGAATTCTCCTAATCGTCCCAGCATCAAGGCATGTTCCACATTATTATTGAAGGACATCGTCTGACTGGTTGATGGACAACCATGGCTGCCCTCTTTATTATGGCAGAGTATTCACTCTTCAGAAGAAGAGGAATTCTTTGGTTCAGGAAGGTCTTTCTGTCAGATTTCCCAGAGGGCATAGCAGGAACCTACCCACCCCTAGGGAACTGAGCTCCACCCTGTACCTGCTATGGCCTTCTCTCCAGCAGTGAGGGCTTTGTCTGACTGCAGGATGGAGTCTTCCATTGGCACCAGAGACTGCAGGAAGTTCTGGAGCACTTCATTTGCCTGAGAAAAAAACAAGGAGCAGGGAAATGTCAGGCCTCAAAGATCTAGTCCCTTCCTGGGGAAATCATTGTTCAACAGTATTTGCAAACGACATTGCAAATTGTGCATCCTACATAGGATCTAGTGCTTCACTTCCATGTATGGCCATGATCCCAAACTCTTTGTTGGACATAAGAACCCTTCATAGCAGCTCCTTCCTATCACCATCTTCCCATTTAAAGCTCCTCTAGCCCCCAGATTATAGCTCACCTGATTTATGAGCAGTTCTAAAAATATAGCAACTACCTTGGTTCCATATATTTAAATAGCGTTTTTTTTTTTTTTTTTTCTTTTTCTTCTGCCTAGAGGCTCTTGTATCCTTTCTTCACTAGGGTAACATCTTTTGAACAGTTCATCCTAGTGCTTCCTATTTTGCATACTTGAATGTGTTTCCAAGCTGACTTCCAGTTGGACATAGCTGCCACGCTGTGTTAGCAGCTCTCTCTCTTGCTGGCTATGTGACTAGGGGCAACTTATTAACTTCTCGGAATATTGCATTTTTCATCTATATGGTATGGACAACAGTAGTCCAAAAAAGCATCGAATAACATACTTGGCGAGGAAGTGAATGCCCTGTATGTATCGCTATGTTTACCCATGCCTTTTATTTTCTGTCATACACTGACATCCTAAGGTATTGCTCAGAGGACTGCCGCTACCAAGATTAGTTAATGTCTAGAGATCACAAATAACTTGCATGTGAGTGATCTTTCATATGCAAACCAAGCAGTCCAAAATGTATACTCACAACCACTTCCTTCATGTGGCTTTACAATCTGGGACACTATCTGTGTACCCCAAGACCAGGTACCAGAAAACTAGCACAGCTCCTATGCTCCAGAGCTCACTAAACTCATTCAGGCTAGTCAATCTTCACTCTGTTTACCAGGCTTTGAAAGTTACCTCCTGCAGAAACCAAATAAAGCCTCCGGCCCAAGATTTCTCCCAGTGCCCACTCCCTCCTGACCAACCCTACTACTTCCCCAGGGGGCTCCTCAAGTGTGTTATGCTTCCTACACCTGGGATCTGTGAGGTTAACAATCTTTTCCATGGAAAGTATCTCCTGAAATGTTGGCCTTGCAAAACCTAAATAATACCATTAAAACATGTCCCCTATTATCATAATTATTACCATCATTATAATCTTTAATTTTACTATCTACTCATTCCCATATGAAAACTCTTAATACAACAAATATAACTACTAATTATTTGCATCTCTGTAAGATCATCAGCATCTTAAGACTAAAGGTATGTCTTTATCTTTATATTCCTGTTCTTAACTCAAGAGCAATCATATCATGGGTCCAGTCACGATGGCACACAGATACTACGACTTCTTAGAAGGTTGGAAGTCTCACCAAAGGGTGACTTTGGTTCCCGAGCCAACCTGAACTGGCCAGATGGTGTAGCCTGCCTGTAATTCTAGCTAACAGGCAGGTGATTGCAGGAGAACCATTACGTGGCAGGACTGCCAGAAATAGCTACCTTGGTAACTCTCATGCCCTCCTCTTGATCTTTCTCCCCCTCTATTTCTCTCACAAAGGAAGGAAAATCACAATATTCAGTAAAAAAAAAAAAAAGAAACGGTTTTCACCCAGGATTCTCAGTACCATTCCCTTGTTTTGGGAAGAAATACTAATGATCTCTCCAGGAGCTCTAACTAATTGTGGATATAAAAACTAAAAAAGTTGAGAGGCGGGCCGGACACCAAGTCTGCGTCCGGTCACGGGACATCACGGGACGTCGCGGGCCCTCCCGGGCTCGGCGTGTCCCCCCTGGGGCCCTGCTAAGCCGGCGGCGGCAGCAGAGGCGGGCCGGACGCCAAGGCTTCGT